TGTGTGTGGGGGAGGGAAAAGAACTCATTCCTTCATGTATTATCGCTCCAGTTGACTCCATTTTATCGTACTGACCTTGGTGGTCGTTTCGAGGGATGACCATAAATATTTTTTTGAGCCAGCTAAGCTCTGCTTTCGTTCACTACATACCAGCCAGTTCTTAGAATAACTTCATGAATTCTGTGGTCACCCCTACGACATCTGTGGCAGCCAAAATGGTTGGAATCTGAAACGCAGAAGCACCAACCCCTTGTTATGATAACATAAAGGTTGATTTACTGCAGCTAATCTGGCAAGCTATACGACTCACAGAGAGACATTTCCTCTTGTATTCCCCCCATGGGGAAGAAGGCAAGGCCGCACAGAAGATGTTAGGTTTACGGAAAAAAGAGCCAAATGAGAGATACGCAGTATTGGTGTGGTGAATGTGAGACAGCGCTGCGTATAGAAGAATGCTTCAATGCGTACCATACTCTGCTCAAATTCTAATCCACCTGCTTCCATTACCGAGATACCGGGTGCTCATATTATAAGGCAAGGTTATAAAACCATCTTTTAAGATCATTTTAGTGAAAGTTTCATGTTCCTATCTCATATAATTTAAGAACAATGATGAATAAATCATTTTCGAGCAAAATTTAAATGGCCGGCTGAATATATTACCGCCGGAGAGACACGGCAGCGGAATTTAAATGACCGCGCAAAAGGGTTAAATAATTTTCCTAGGGAGTAAAGCGCAGCCGGCGCGTAAGGCTGACAACCTTACCGCCATCTTTGAGCCGATTGTCTAGATAATGTGGGACCCTCAACGTCTCACAACCCTATGGGCCTTCACGGCCTGGTACAGGGATAGTTTTACTTCACTTTTTCTTTTACTAAAACCACAGAGGTTTTTAATATTTTATTTATTTATACTTTATTTGATGATGTCAGTAATCGGCCTGAATAGTGTCAAATTGTGGGATGATTATTGAATAATGAATTGGAAAATGTGTCAGGAGGTATCCTTTAATTTGATGAAATTCAAGTTAGTCCTTTTGGGAGGTGGGGGATGGCACTGACAACTATCATTGGGAACTCTCCAGCGCAACTGCAGTTGCAGTGAACGTGATACATACAGCAGAACTGATATGTTAACACTGGTTCAATCACATCTATGCATCAAGACTACTGCAACATAAGTTTCAGTTGAGTTACCGTCAAATTGTCATTGATCGTTGCTGCAGTGTGCGCACATCCTCAGCATAAACTCCATTCAAAATTTCATTGAATTTCATTGTGCATCAGACTGAACGCTGTGTGTCACCAACCTCTAGAAGATAACCCTTAGTATTTTTAATATAATTCTTTTTTAAATCACTAGTGGGGGGTGGAGTCCAGCTGGGTTCACTCAGCATGATGACACCTGATTAGCCTATTGTACCTGCCCCGGCTGATTATGATGATGGAGAATTTGGTGGAATGAAGATTGGCAGGGGAAACTGAAGTACTCGGAGAAAACCCACCCCAGCGCCACTTTGTCTGCCACAAATCTCACTTGACCAGACCTAGGATCAAACCCGGTCTGCGGAGGTGGGAAGCCAGCGATTAACCACTTGAGCTATGGCGCAGCCTATTTTTAATATAAAGGATATACAGTACATTTTCTGTTGTGTTCGTAGACTTGTTTGAAAATTATATTAGTGAAACATCATGTGCTATTCTTTGTTAGGGAAGTTCAGAGGACAGCAGGCGTGTCCACTACTGACCTTGTGGGCCGTATGCTGCTCATGACACGGCAGCATTTCCGTCAGGGACCATTGGAATATGATGTTGGCCATGAAGGTTCTTCACAGCTCGGTCTAGACTCTGATGCCCGAAGTCCATACACTGGCTGTTCACAGTTTCTTCCCACGACACAGGAGATCATCCAGTTTAGTGATGGAAAGCCACCGAAGGTACCGCAGATTGAACAAACTTCTGACATGTTATTGTGTGTGAGATGAGAATGTGAGGTATTAGAGAATAGTGTGATATATTTAACTCCGGAAGCAGCTGATCATTTTGTATCAGCAAGGAGATGAATATGTTGGTGTGTTTGTGGGTTACTTAGTGATGCTTTCAGTAGCTAAATAGTGTGAAATGAATGGATGGTAGATGAACAATACTTTGGAAAGGATTTAGAAGGAAGTGGTTGTGTCTAACCAAGGTACTATCCCTGCATTTGCCTGGAGAAATTGAGGGAAACTGCAGATATACCTCAGGTTAACCAAAGGCCTGGCTTAGTTTTGAACCAAACACTTAACAGATATGAATCAGAAGCAATACCAGTACGTCAGTCTGTTTGGCATGTTGGTTTGACTGTGATGCTTGAAGACTAACATTTGTTAGGTATCTGTCCTTTGAATAGCTCAGGCTACTAGCCACCTTTTCTGAAGTAGTTGACTTATCACATGATTGTAGGGATATTACTTAGTTTAAATTTGCCAAACAGCTTGTATTTTCCTATGGTATTGAAAGTTACCATGAGATCTTCCATCAGCCACTTCACCCTGAAGATGGAGACTGCTAATTTTTGTGAAACATTGGTAACCCAGCCTGTTCCAACGGTGTTTTCACCAGAAGAGGCATAATTGTCAACAACTAACAAGAAAGCCTATTGGCTGAATGTCAAAATTGTCTCATATTTTTGAAGTCTGTTTTCAGATTCTTTCTTTAGAGAATGCCTATCCTGATTTTATGTTTTTGTTAGCTTGTCCTCCAGGTAAATTCTTGGATAATACATTAAAACTTCGTATGAGAACTTCCTTCTGTATTTAAATGTGAATTGTTACATTCCCATTATATAAGTCTAATGTATATAAACATTAAGATTTCAGCCAGATACAACTTTTACTGTAAAAGGATACACGTATCAGCAGTTTGAATGTGCCATCATCAAACCTATTTATTTCATATATGGAGAGGAAGCTGTGTACGAGTAAGTGATCTTTTTGCGAACACATGAATACACATGTAAAAGACAGTAATAAAATATGATATATGATCAGTTATTAAAAGTATAAATATTGGGGCAGGTGCAGGGAATTTTCATGAAAAAAACTCCTGGTGATGAGAATATAAGTTTGGATTTTAGACCATTGTATGGAGAATTAAACTGTGTTGGTTATGTTGCTGAGCAGTTTTGATGTTTGTGCGGTGGTGCTCGTCAGCGCACTGCCTTCCTTCCATAGCCTTGACTTTTGCAGTTGAATCAATTTTCTGATATAATCTGGGAATATAAGAGGGCTGTACCCCTCAACTTAACATTTTCTTTTATTTTCACAGCCTAATGACAGGATCATATACGTGGCTGGAGCATTTGATCTGTTTCATGTTGGACATTTGGATTTCCTTGAGAAAGCCAGAGCAGAAGGAGATTATCTGATTCTTGGACTACACACAGATCCGATAGTAAACAGATACAAGGGTAGCAACTACCCCATCATGAATCTTCATGAGAGGGTGCTTAGTGTGTTGGCTTGTAAGGTTAGTAGTTTCTGTCTTTATTTGGGATGTTCTTAAAACAGTGATGTATATTGATGTACGAAATCACTCTGATAACGCAAATCCTTGGCTGCACTTACTGATCAGAATGACACCCGTAAACAACTACCAGTACTTTTAATTGACCTGATTATCGTTTCTCTTGTGTAAATTGCTTGTCAAGTGCACTTAGCAAACTGCCTTAGTTAGTTGTTTTTTTTTCTTCTGAGCCAAAGCCCAATGTAAGGAGTACATTATTTTTCTGTGTTTAATGACTTTTGATTTAGTAAACAATACAGCTTAATTTTCTACCTTCGAGAACTTCAGTCTGATTGTGTTTGAAACAGTAATTGATATTCACATTTAATTCCCTATTTCAGAAATTGTGCTGTACAATGAAAATATTTCACAAGTGACATATTGAACACACACTGAAACAGGGCCCCTTGTGCTGTCATAGTTTCTTTGTTCCCATCTCAGTTTCGTTTAGTGTTTGTCATTTATTTTAGAAATTACCTTGGTATTATTTGTTACATAATTGTATCTCTTAAATATATCAAATAATTCTAATATAGAGGTGAACAGTTGTGTTATGTAATTTCGCATAACCTCCATTTAGTGAAAAATCTTGATTTAGTATAAAAAAAAAACATTCCCTAGATATTTAATAAATTGAGTTTTCACTGTTGCATTTCAATTTAAAAGCAAGAGAAATACCAGCCATTATGATATTTTGAGGTGAAGGCTAATGTAGCCTAGCACAGAGGTTTTTAAGTACAGAGGTGCGCCATCTGTTGGCTGTAACTGAAAGCAACTGTAACTGTGAAGAAAACAGTTTGCAACTTCTCTCTGAGCAAGATATGGTGTCTCAAGGGGAAATTTAATAGTGGCAGTCAATCTGCTTGATAGGATGGGTGAATGTGTTGACTGGAAATGTTGTCAGCTGCTGTGAAGGAAAGCCACAGGTTACCAAAAAGATAATGGTTACAAAATGTGGTCTTCAGGTATCATACAGCAAGAGAACTAAATTATGTTTGGAAAGAAGAATTTAAGGAAAATATCCGGAGGTTAAAGACAGAAGATCAAGATTGTAATGCAAAAAAAAAGCTTTGCAGTTGATACATATCACGTAGTATTAATTCCCCCCCCCCCTTGGCACTACAGCCCCAGTGGGCTTAGGCCTACCTCCATGAACTTCTCCGTTCACTTCGGTTTTTCTAGATCTTACACATTCGGTAGGACTCCTTGGGCGCGTGATCAGCTCATCGCAAGGCCTCTACCTATAGACAAACACAGAAAAACGCACACAAACATCCATGCCCTGAGCAGGATTCGAACCCACGATCTCGGCTTCTGAACGAGCAAAGACAGTGCATGCCTTAGACCGCTCAGCTACCGTGACTGGCCATGTAGTATTATTAGGATCTTAAAATCAAGGAGGTTAGAATGAACTGGACATGTATATCGGAATTGGGGTAAAGAAGAAATTCATACAGATACTAGTGAAAAAATCTCTTAGAAGGTGACCGCATAGAAGACCTAGAAGAATGTAGGATAATGATATGTCATCATGAGTGTACCCTTTTGCCATGCCATCTTACTATTTTGGTCATATATTGAAGAAAAAGGGTAAGGTATTATTGGCAAGGGGAAACATCAGATTTACATTTACAGCCTGACCTTAACTGTTCTTTATCTGAAGTTTAGAAAAGGACTATACTTCCAACAGCGCTGTCTGTATGAACCAATATTTCTCGTATCTGTTTTGTCACTGAGCTCCGCAGTGTGGTTGCTTAGCTTCTGTAAGACGAGCGTGAGGGTGAGTCATATTGTACTTGTTTGGGTGAAAGTCTGAAATTCTGCTTTTATGACCAGCTGCATCAATTCAGAGCAGAAGTCTAGTGTTTTGGGAAACTTTCTTTGTTTTCATCATCAAGGAAGGTAAACATGGTTGGTCATGTTGTGCATGGATATGTCATTAAGACTCCACATTGAAGGACAGCCATTGGCTTACGAAAGATGGTAAGTGGAGTTTAGTGTAATCTCATCTCAGTATAATCCACTTCGTTGTTGCTTAACATGGAAAATCAAATTAGAATGACTCATTCGTGTTATATCTGAATGCTGCTTCAGTCCTGTAATGCAGTGGTTCTCAGCCTTTGTCAGAACGGGGCCCGGTAAATTATTTTTTTCTATAATATGAGGGCCCAATATAATTGATGCCAGGGCCTGGGGATGGAGAAACACTGCTGTAGTGTATATGTTTGACAAAACAAGGTTTGGAGGAGCTGTCTTGCTTTAGATGACAGAACATATTACCTTTTGGGATATGATGCTGTGTCATCTGATAGACATTTATGGACATTTCAGAGGAATTTACTGCCTGCAAATTCAGGGTCAAAATTTAATAGACACAAGCAGGTCGGAGTACTCTGCTCGCTGCTCTATGTATTACTCTTCAACCCTGAAGATGGAAGAAGAAGATGCATCCAAAATTTCAGCATACAGTGGAACCTCGCTTAACGAGCATAATTCATTCCAGAATCGTACTCGTAATGCGAAACACTTGTTAAGCGAAACAATTTTTCCCATATAAATTAATGTAAAATACGATAATGCGTTCCATGCCGAAAAAAATACTCAAAAAATTTTATGTATAACGTTTATTCAAAGAAAATTATATATACATTGTTAGGAGCATGAATCATCTTCATCTTTTCTTCTATGCAGAATGAACCAACCTGGAATGCGATTTCGATTTGCAGAAAAAAAATCGAAATAATTAGTTTATTATTTATGATACATATCTAATTCTTTTTTACTAGAAAGCTGTCTAGAGACATTTGTTTTTGCTGACACTTCAAAATTTGGTGAAAATGCGACACAGCATTATCATTAAATAAATTTGTAGCACACATAGCCACTGCCTTATTAGGGTGTTGCTTCTCAATGTACAATGCAACAGTTTCCCACGGCTTCCTTTAAATGCTTCAGCGTCTTCTTAACGAGGTCAGCGAAAATGACTTTTGCCTTCTCACAAATGATGTTCTCGTTAATAGTGTCAGCTTGCAATTGCTTTTCGTTTATCCATATGAGGAGCAACCTTTCAACATCATCAAGAATGCATAACCGTTGCGTAGATATTCTTGTCACTCCCTTTGAAGCATCTATCTCCTTAATCTTGTCCTTGTTCTTGAGGATAGTGCAAATCGTTGATGTAGACCGACTGTATGTGCGTGCTAGATCAGCCACGCTCACACCTCGTTCTCGCTTTTCAATGATTTTACATTTCATTTCTCGGTTATTTTTATTCTCTTATGGCTGTCTTTTTGCGGCTTTTTCTTCGGGGACATTTTTGCAAGGGTTATTAAACTTTGCACAAAAAAATCACAAATAATATGTCTGAACACAAGTTCGGAAAAATGTGTGATCACAAGCGACACTAAGATTCTTGCGGAATGAGTGCTAAACACAGACTGATGTAGCAAGTGCACAATCCGGGACTTCCCTTCTCGTCACTCGTTATGCAAAACGTCGCTCGTTAAGCGACTCATTTTTTTACAATTTGTTTTGCTTGTTATGTGAATTACTCGTTATGAGGTGCTCGTTAAGCGAGGTTCCACTTTACTTCTACCACACTGTGCAGTGTCACATCCCAAGAGATAGTACTCACCATAATATTTGTGTCTGATTGGTGTTTGTTTTAACTTGAACACCCTCTGTAAGCGATGTTAGAATGTTGACCTGCTTGCTTTCAGTATGTTTCTGAGGTGGTGATTGGAGCTCCTTATGCTGTAAGCCAGAACCTCATGGAACACTTCAAAGTGGACATGGTGTGTCATGGACAGACACCCATCCAGCCTGATGCTGATGGTTCTGACCCTTACACTGAGCCAAAGCGACAGGGTAAATTTAAATTATTGAACTCGGAGAACACCATGACAACGGAGAAGATTGTCAACCGAATCATAAATCACAGGTAGATTTCTGTTATATAACAATGTCACCTTTTGATTACTTTTGTTTGTTTTCATGAAGGATCTGCCTCAGTGATGCTTGAACGCTGATTTGGATCCACAGAAGTCAGCAACAAAACTGTTATATTATCATTACACTGTCCAAGCACAGACTGCGTCTCTTGTGCGGATAGGAAAAGTTTGTCAACTTTAGTGGTGGAAATGTTATGTAAGAAACAAGTCCATCTATGTTTTGACTTATTGTTTCTGTTGATTCATTTGGTGGCCATACACACAATCAGTTGTATGTAGCAGTGCATAATGGTCACATACAGAATTTTTTGAATTGCCTCTATGTAAACAATCTTAAACTTGATATGTTAACTGGGATAGCTGAATCAGTGATTTGGTCCTCATGTTGGTTACTGAAAGGGACACAGATTTCTCCCATTGCTACCATGTTGAGACTGGTTCCAATACCAAGCCTTGCGGTTTACGGTTTTTAAGAAACAGCCCATAAACCCCTGCATAGCCTGTAACACTAAGTTTTGCTGTAAGTTCCTGTGTTTGGCTCTGTCTGCTTGTTATAAGGTGGGGTTCCAGTACTTCTTTTTTACATTAACCCATGTGTGAAAAAATCAATACATAGAAATTGGTATAAAATTATGTAGTTTTATGAGAAATGTACCCGTCTTTAAACTCTCTGATGTGGCACATCACACAGGCAAAACTTTACGTTACGTTTCACAAAGAATTTCCTTTCTGAGAGAAGAGAAAGCTAATCTAACTTTCAAGTTTTAGCCATGAAATTTGAAGAGACTGCAGGAAATTGTATATCTCCATGACATGGCAGCTGTTACAGCACCACCAGTATGATGGGTTTTCTGAATTCATACAATGTTAACACACAAAACCCACCACTGTTTCTGGCAAACAGAGCAGGATGGTATAGTGGTAGCACTCTAGATTTGTGTTTTGGAGGTGCTTGGTTTAAATTATGTCTGGGATACCAACTCTCATGACAGGGTCTTCATGGATTTTCTTATCCCTTCCAGGTGAACAATAGGGTAGTATTCCAATTAAGACATGACCATCCAGATCCTTTCTAACTCATCAGTTATCTTGCCATTTGATCCTCTGCAGCCTAGATACTGACAGTAACATAAAATTGACTGCAGTATTAAACCATGAAACATGTGTACCATCTTTATTATCTTCCTTGTTTGCATTTCAGGTTTCCTTCCTCTTTCTCTTTTTTTTTTTTCTTTCTTTCTTCCTTACTTCCTTTCCAGCCTGCATTCTTTCTTAGAGCCTTCCTTTCCACCATTTTCTTTTTCTAGAAAGAAAGGTAGGCATTAAGAGTTGGTATACCACATAGTTTTTGTGGGTTTGTTGTGTAATGTGCGGTTAAGTTATTTTCTTTGAATGTGAATGCTGTTCACAGGTTGGAGTTTGAACACCGTAACCATAAGAAAGAAAAGAGAGAACTTGAAGCTTATGAAGCATTTCACAACTTGAATAATGAAACTCTATAAGGCTGTGACCTTAGGAGTTCTTGAATGCATTGAAAAGGGAACAGATATCATGCTTTTATTATGCGATATTATGTTGGGGATTGCTACAATCTTGCCATTCCTGTGTGCATTTTGGCCACAGAATCTTTAATTAGTCTGGAAATATCTGTTATTAACTTTGTCAGAAGTTGAATTGTTTTGTTGGTTTATTATGTATAATCAACACATTTGTACTGTAAGTAAGCTGTGAAACAAATGTTATGTGTAATTTGGAATTGCATTTTTAGAATGGAACGCTTGTAAACTATGAGAGATTTAGCATTAAAGAAAGTCATTGTTTGTATTGTTATTGCAGTACCATCTGAACTGTACAGAGGTGTCAGCTATAGGCCTATGTAGCTTGTACTTTCAAACTTGCTATCTGATTATGAAAAGTATGGTCTTCTTAGTTGTAATATTGTGTAGTTCGGAGTGTGACATTGCAGAAGAACATGTCCCCATCTCTCTTCAATACCAAAGATTAAGCAAAGCAAGAATACAGCACAAAGGCAGCAAGCTGAACTTATTTTTAAGTATGAAGACAGAAGCTATATTATCCCCCAAAATGTTGGACCCTCTCCAGATATCATGATGTTACAACCCAGAAGTCATATTCTTCGCTGTCACTGCTGTGAGAACCTCCAATCCATCTTACTGCCTGACTGCTTTAACTTCTACTGCTATTTCTAGGTTTCATGATGGAAAAAGGAGAGATCATATGGGTGGTTGATAAAATTAGTGTACTATCAGTTACAAACATTTCCCTTCTCTTGTAGCCACTCCAAGGCCAGCAGCAGCAACACGCTTTCTTACCAGAGCCATTCTTGATGTAGGCAAGAGGTATGCTGCCCATTCATTGTGACAGTTATAAATTCTTCAAGTAGTTGGCTGTGACTTTTATAGATTTGATACCTTTTATATTATGAAAGATTTTTCATATATAGAACCTGACATCAATGTAATGTAGTTTGGAGGTGGCATAATGTTTCAGAGGAACATATCACCTCCATGTTCAGGATCAAAGATTAAGCCAAGTAAGAAACCAGGAGGAGGCAGTGAACTTGGCACTTGCTTGGCTTATTCTTTGACCCTGAAGATGGAGGCAGTATGTTTTACTGAAACACTACTCTGTCTCCAAACTGCATGTCATTACAACTGATAATACCTACTCATTTTGGTTACTTATGTTTCAAAACAGATTGGAAGAGAAATTTGATTGACACAAGGTTGATTCTTCTTTTGATGTCATGCCATGAAATTTGATTGCAAATATGAAGCAGGAGTTCACAGCAGATCCAGCGATGGCAGTATTGATGAGATAAGCCTCTAGAATTGATGAAACAAAAGTAATTTTGAATTTGAGGAATATTGTTAACATCACTCAATTTGAGCAGTATTGCTCTAATTTACTTGTGCAGTGAAGATGTTTACTTAAATTGAAAAATGTATGCATCATAATCCCGTTAATTCCTGGATGCTTCTGATGAAGAGCAGTCAACAAACAAACTCCGTGTCCTGTAGTCCACAAGCGAACTATACCGACAGAACAAGTATAAATTCTAGCATATCAGTAATTCAGTTGTACAGAACTATTAGACTTATTTTGTACTCTATCATCTGGTGTATAGAAGACAAAAATCCACAACGTTTCAGAGACTGGATCTGTCTCTGTCCTCAGGTGGATGGGGCAGGATAAACCTACTCAGTTGGGCCCATTAGAAAGACCTGACCCAGTGATTGAGACTAGCTCTTTCTAACAGGCCAAACTGAGTAGGTTTATCCTGCCCCATCCACCTGAGGACAGAGACAGATCCAGTCTCCGAAACGTGTTTCTTTTTCTTCTATATATACCAGATGATAGATAGAGTACAAAATAAGTCTAATAGTTCTGTACAGCATACACCACTGTCAGAATCCTTTCAAGTGTATCTAATTCAGTCATATTTGAATGTAGAATACTTCAATGTATTTACATTTGCAGTTTTTTTTTATTTAAAATCGTGAAATCTTTTAAGGTGGCAACCCTAAGTTCACATACTTTGCAACAGTTGCTGCAGGACATGTCAGCTTTGCATTTACAAAAGTTGTGATAGTCTCTTGCAGCATAGCTAGAAACTTATGTACATGCTCAAAGTATGTTATTTGAATACAGAACTTTTTAAGTGCAAGCTATGTTAAATAGTCCATTGGTGCTACAGTGAAGATTTTAAAATGCCTTCATTTTAGTGCTTTCAGACCTTTAGTTCTTGGAAATAATAACAAACAATAAGAAAAACTTTGTCAAAAGCTGTTCATCATAGTAGGTGAAGGGAATGGAGTAACCAAATTACTAGAATTGTGCTTTGAATATTCATACTGTAGTCTTTTGGGTACAGCACCGTGTTCAACTGGTGAAAAGAAAAGAAAAAAGAGACAGGATTGCCAAAGGGGTAGTGTAAGTCCAGTTAACAGAGAACAATGATCAGTATCAGTAGCTCAATAGATGACTTCCTGAAAAAATTACATGCCAGCAGCATCATTTGTAATTTGACTTGGATGGGTGACCGTTATAGATCACCAAATTTCCATTATGTGATGATTAGATGCTCAAAAGACTACAGAGAACATATACTGCTATGAAAACCGAGTTTCATATTTATGCATTTAATTGTGTCATAGTTGTAAGTCATAGCAAATAGCTAAGTACTGTTGGAAGAAACCAATTATTTAGTAACTCTGTCCAAGAAATTATGATGGAAACTTTTTAAATTCACCAGAAGTGACAATTTTTTATACAAGTTACCATTACCCACTTAACATTATCACTGTTATATTAGTTGTTTTTGTTATTTTTAATTTATAGAAGTATTTTGGTTATAAAATACATTATAATATTAGTTCATTTAGTACATACTGCTTCACGAATGTAGTGGCTATATGAAAGATATGTAGTAGGACAGTCTACACAACAGCAGTTCTGAAAGAGACAAATAGACACTACTGTGTCAACGTTTGTTTTATTGGTCATTGGTGGTAACTACATGTTTCGATCCTTTTCTTGGGTCATCTTCAGGCATACAAGAATACAGGTGCTAGTTCATGAATTGCATTTTTAATCAATATGAATTCATATTGTATTTGTATGAATTTTTATGCTAACAAATACTCCTTAATATAATTAGTTCCATGTAGTTTAAAACTTTGTCATTAAAATTTGACATTAAAAAGATAAAAATTAAAACTAGTTTACTTGTGGTGTTTTGATTTATTAGGTCCCATAAGTTTCCCCACTGTTTACCATTTTGGATATGTAGATGATACAAAGTTTTATTGAAGTTTTGTTTCTTAGTGTACCAAAACTTTATTTCATTCTTTATGCATAATTTATGAACTTCATCATCTGTGTGTTTGGCAAGTGCTTTATTGTGTGAATTTATCTTGGTGTGTACATATTTTGGTGTTAAATTTAATTCTAGCCATGTTTTGTTGCAGTAAATATTTGTGTTGCAATTCAGTACCTTGAGCTTAGTACTCGTGTATTTATTTATGCAGTATGCCAACTCCACATACAAACAACCTGACAGTAATACCCAGAGTAACGCGTGTAGCCTTCACATTATAATAGGTAACCATTATAGGTACAAATATACGAGACACCCTAAATAATATCGATCATAATATATATAAAATAGAGTGATATGTTGGGATTTTGGACTTTATCCATCGTCCTGGTTTTTAAGATAACAATTAAAAACCAGGACGATGGATAAAGTCCAAAATCCCAACATATCAGTGTGTTATACACCATCGTCAGAATCCTATAGTAACTATAAAATAGAGTATAACTCATTTTCCAGGAAGGTCAAAAACCAACACGACCCAGATTTTGAAGAAAGATCCCAGTACGCAGTTACCCCACATCACAACCGTTGCTACCATAGTGGAACAACCAAACAACACATATACAGATATGTAGCAGTCACAAAGTCTTAAATATGGCTTATAAGTTATGACTACTGTAATCGCTATTTTAATTTTATTTTAGTTTTAATTTTAATTTTAATTTTTATCTGTTTAATGTCAAATTTTGACAGCAAGTTTTAAACTATATGTGAACTACATTTAAATTAAAGTGTATTTGTTAGCATAAAGATTCATACAAACACAATATGAATTCATATTGATTAAAAATGCAATTCATGAACTAGTACCTGTATTCTTGTATGCCTGAAGATGACCCAAGAAAAGGGTCGAAACATGTAGTGTTACCACCAACGGCCAATAAAACAAATGTTGACACAGTAGTATCTATTTGTCTCTTTCAGAACTGCTGTTGTGTAGACTGTCTCGTTATATATCTTGGGTATGACACACAACAGGATGCCTACCATAAAATTAGGGGCTATATGTTTAAACTCGGATAAGCGTACAAAGTTATTGTGAATACACTGAAGTAGGTGCTTTGATTGATGTCAGAGATTATTTATAATTCGTTGTTATGCCATGATTGAGACTTATGTTGGCTATTGTTTATGAGTTAATGTGGTGATTATATAAATGTAATTAATTTTGTTTGACAAAGATCTTAAATCTTGTATTAATTGCTAAGATGTCATGCAAAGTTAATAATCCTACATTAAATAGCATATAACTGTTCTCTCCTTAAAAGCAATCATATTTGTATAACCAATGGGAAGAGTGAAAGGATATGGCATTCATGTTATTGTTCATCTCACAAAATGTATTAAGAAAAGTGTGAGTGGTAAGTATGTCACCACCAATTATAATTTGTTTGTCAGTTTCTGACATGATTTGAGCCCAGCATAATGTTTAGATCATAGCATTTAGTCAAATATTGGTGATATTGCAATGAGATAAATGAATTTGGAAAATTTGGTAAGTTATATAAGACATTTCTAGTGCTGTTCTATTATTAAAATGCTCCAATTTAAAAGAAGAGTGTCGTCTTCAGTCTAATACTGATATAAATATCAATTGCTAGTATCATTATATAATTTGAAGATTTCACAGAAACTGTGTGCAGTGAGATCGTGTCAGGTGATCAGCCACATGGAATTAGTACTGAAAATGTCAGAAGAAGCCTCTGTCTGTGTCGTAGGTTTATATGATGCATGGCATGTTTTATTGATACCTGTAAAGTGTGCTATTGACTGTCCCAGCTTTTGTGTGCATTTGAGTGTACACTGCCTGAAGTTAAGTTCATCTGTTCCTTGTTTTGGCCAACCTATCATAAAGAGAAACTAAAAAAATACGTTGCCTTTTTCGTTCGTTTTCAAACCAATATACTGTAGAAAATTCTGAGTTCCTTGACTTTATTTTCATTTTTTGTGACACTGTCTTTATACAGAGGTATACTGTGTTGTGTTCTCTGTAGTTCCACAGTTTCCAGACTTCTGAAAGATCTTTAAATTTTCTCCATGATATACCAAACAAAACTAGCTTTGTGTGTAATTTTTTAAGATTTCATTATTTTATTATATTTTATTTTGAAACCATTCATGAAGGAATTAGTTTAATAGATGTTTGAATATATATGGGTACTGTTATAATATTACGTGTTGTTTTAAGGGTAAGTTTGTGCCTATTAAGATTCTGCCTTACCATTTGAGAATATCTGCATATACAGTAAGAAAATAGATTTTCATATATGTTGTTGACATTGATCCTTTCTGTTGCAGTATGAAGCGATAAACCTTTATAGGACAGTCTCGTATGCCGTTCCTACACACAAACCATTCCTTTTTATGTGCTGGATGTAATTTGTGTATGATGATCCCATGTTAAATGCCATTTTTTATTGTGTTATGACTTGTCTCCTTGCTAGGATGAAATGGGTTTAAAGGCTCCAGCATTGGATACACACACCTGGAGATGGAAATTTTTGTCCTGTGTGTATGAGTATTAACACATGGGTGCATTCGTAGTCCTCAGATGGTTATAGATGATTTTAAACTTTCTTATTAGCAGAGTTTAAGTACATACAAAGGGGGACCCAAAAATAACCGGAAACGACATGTTGCGCACGCATGCTTTGTAGTTACGAGTTGTGCTGCTAGGTGATGTTAGCTGGGGGTCTCCCGCGACTGTTAATGAGCTGGCGTCAGTCTGAGTTAAGTGGTTTGTCTGTGGTGCTCTGTTGTGTGCGTTCCTGTTTCAACCCTTTGGCGATTAGTGAGATGGCCGACCAGAAGGAACAAAGAGTGTGCATGAAATTTTGCTTTCTGTTAGGGAAAACTGCACTTCACTCTTCAAGTCGCGGCAAACATTCACGCGGTTTTCTCTTTGGTCATCTCCGAGCAAGCAAGGAACAAATTTTGCAGACACCCGTCTCATGTGCAAACCTTCGGTTAAAATTCGCTGGACCGTGCTCCATGAGATGTTCGTTTCCTCAGAAAGTTGGTCAATGGTCTTTCGACGATCTTCATCAATTTCACGCACACTCGTTGTTCCTTCTGGTCGGCCATCTCACTAATCGCCAAAGGGTTGAAACAGGAACGCACACAACAGAGCACCACAGACAAACCACTTAACTCAGACTGACGCCAGCTCACTAACAGTCGCGGGAGACCCCCAGCTAACACCAGCTAGCAGCACAACTCGTAACTACAAAGCATGCGCGCGCAACAGATCGTTTCTGGTTATTTTTGGGTCCCCTCTCGTATATGTAAGTACTTAGGATACTGCAGAGCTTAACTTTGAATGTTCATTTTTTTATTTTATAATTTTATTATGAAATGTGTCATGAAGAAGAATGGAACTATGAACTTTCAGCATTTTAGGTTATTTTCTTTTTGTCCATAAAATATTTTTAAGAAAGGAGCATAAGATAATGGGATCTGCAGAATATATTTTCTGTACTGTAATACTGCTTAGATATGAGTAAGTATAAATATGACCTTTTCAGGCCTGCTAAAATATCTGATAATGCCATCATTACAGAATATTTTTAACTATCCCTGAAACTTATCAAAAACACATAAAAGTCAGTCAAATTAGATTTACTGTATTGTATTTCTTTCTGTGTTTTTATCTTCTTTCAAAATTTGCTCTATATGTCATCACTCTTAGAGATATTTTGTTTTTTTGTTTGTTTGTGTAGCCTTAGTGTGAACTGTAGAGACTGAATAGTCATGAACACCTTGGATGAAGACCTTTCCATGGTCATGGGAGTCATGTCTGCGTATGGTGTCTTGCATGTTACAGCACAACTGCCTATTAGTAAAATAAATTCCCATGCCTCACCTATGGCTATAACACAGCAGTAGATTTAGATATCTTTTTGCCACATTTTAGACCATTAATTTTGGTGTAAGATTTGAGGTTTTCACAGCGGTGACTATGAAGAAAGCAGTCTTCTGGGCTGTGGCGCGGTCTAGATGTGGTGTTAACTGACGTTTCGGAGGAATGTATCGCCTCCATCTTCAGGGTAGAAGGAAAGCAGTCTGCTTGCACCTGTTCTCATTGTCTCTTCGCTTGCGGATTTTCTTATTTTTCCTTCTACCCTGAAGATGGAGGCGATATGTTCCTCCGAAACGTCGGTTAACACCATATCCCAGAAGACTGCTTTCTTCATTAATTTTGATGTATGACGTTTTCTATGTAAAATCACATTTTGCTGTTAGAATTATTGTATGTTGTATGTGTCTAGTTTTATTCCATGGTAGAGGCATGGGAAATCTGTATTTTCATTAACAGCCTTTTTCATAACAAGAATTAGATGGTTGCCATGGGGAATTTATTTGAAGTGTTTTAATTAATTTATTACATTTGAGTGGACAAAATAATATGTTAATGGGTTAATGACAGACCTGGAAGGGTTAAGGTAGAAGTCAATTAAATGCATTGCTGACTGTGTTGTGTGCCATGGATTATGATGTAAGGTAGATTTTGTTATGTATGTTATGGATGGAAGCAGTGAACTTAAGGTACAGGAGTGCTAATTAGTAGATTGGATTTTGTTGAGATCCGTGTTGTTTCCTGTAAATACACATTGGAAGTACTAGTCATATAAATGAGATATGAACAGGACTGGAAATGGGGGGGTAGACACCATCATCTTAGTTCCAGAGCCCTTCATTTTGAGAAAGTTATTTCCATTGCCTCAAGACATCAAACTGTTTTTCTGAACAATGATACATGTAGAATTGAATTGATGGCCTCCATTATAATAGTTTGGTTTTTATATGAGTTGGTTACTCTCCCAAGCTTATCCACTGATTTGGAGTGTCTACCTAACTCTGAAATTCCATTTCTACCCCTGATAACAAATGTTCATTGTTGCTACTGCTTTAATCAAAGTGTATATCATATTTTAGTCAAGAGCAGATATTTTAAACGGGACCTGAGTTACTCTGTTTTTTACATTCATGTAATAGCCATGCATAGTATTATGGATTTCATCCTTTTGTAGTTACAAAATGAATTGCAGTGGGGTGGAAAAGAGCTTTAAAATTTGTTGTGAATTATTTGTTCAGAATAAGTCTTTGCTACTAACACACAGCTGTTCATATACACATGCTATTAGCATGCAAAATGTTCAGTACCTAATGTCACTTCAGTATATTGAGACAAATTGGGATATCTGTGTGTTAGATTGCTGTCATATGGGCTTGATGGGTGAGACCACTGGAGTGTCAAGCTGACCATTCATCTTTATTTAATATTGAGGTCTAGAATACAAGGAGCTTTACCTCAGACTCTCCTTATGCCTTTATGACATGGTGCTTAAGTACAGGATAGCTTTATCTGTGAAAGCCTAGAGTGTAATTTGTTCATATGCTACTTGAATATTTGGAACAAAAGGATGAACACTCCATGTATATTTTTGCATGGTTTAGACAAGACCAGTTTTATATGTATAAGATAACAGATTTTAGTCAAAATATCTGCCATTTCTTTGTGTTCTATGGGTAAAATATAATGATGGTTGATTAATAAACTTTTTATTTGCTTAAATATTTCTACCAAATTTTTCACTGGGGTTGTTAATACTTCTGCTGTGTTTTCAGGAGATCATGGGTCTGAATCTGGACCCAGAGAGTGACTGTCCTCTCTGGGGTCTTCTACAATTCCCCCAAGCAATGGTGGGATTGCTATGACCACTCCTTATTTACAGCCTTCTCATTTTGTCATTCATAATAATTCTGTCATTTGCTACTCTGAGGCTTCCTTAAATAACTCAAGAATCAATGAAATGTTTGAAGATATCATCTGATAACCCTTATTTCATTTGGTTCTTGTTTTGAGAATATTCAAAGCTCTCCACCATAATTCACAATTGGGATATGTGGTTTTAATAAAACCAAGTAAGGCTAACATTTTGTATTCTCGATAGGAAGTTGCACAGTACAAATATATGGTAACATCTGTTTGTATGATGCTTGCATTAAATTTTATTACATTCATCAGCTGGTTCAAACATTGTCAGATAAAACATGACAGTAAGTCTTGATTTAAACTTTTACCTGTTTTGCATGAGATATCCTTTTCTGAAACACTGGTACTTCTTCTGAAGATGTATTTGATGTGCAAGAAGATGACTGAAAGAATTGGATCCTACTGTCTCCAAAGAGTTTACAGTGCCTGTTTGCTAGTTTTTAAAATAGAAATTTATGTACACATAGAAATATACAAGTGAACAAGATTTCTGAGGATGAAGGAAAACATCATGAATGGCCAAGGACAAGTAAATGTATTAATCCATCTGGAAAACAACAGTAATTTTAAATCACCAAGTCAAAATTCATAGTTAAAATAAAATATTTATGCAACAACATGTTTTAGCTTGTGGATTAGATTTTCTTTTCGTAATTTTACCTTGGCTTGAAAACTGTTAAAGTATAAAGCTCCTATAACAGAGTAGGAAAACCCTCCTGCCTCCCAAAACCCCACCCATTTTAGTATAAACACAAACAGTTGACTAAGGACAGGAACTAAAGGTAATATAAACCATTTTAACATTTGCTGGTTCTGTGGCTCTCACAGCAGCGACCATAGAAAGTACTGTCTTCTGGGAGGTGATGCTGTGTACTCTGATGAAAGTTCACCAACATTCCTACAGAATGGTGAGTGACTGGATTACACAGCTTTACATCCCAGAAGATTCTTCTCTTCCCCTGATCTGTTTCTTTTTATTTATTTACAAGACCTCATGCAAATCCACTTTAACCATATCAGGATATATTGTACTGGCACAACTTTTTGACAGCCCATAAATACAGAATAGTTTACTGAAAATGACAATAGTAGAGTTTGAAATATGCATACACTTTATTTTATATATCCTGAATTTTGGTAATTCAGAATACATTGGTGATGCAAGGAAAACTTCAAATATATTCCATCCCATACTAACACCTGAATACCAGCACCTTTTTTTTATATTTCTAAAAGTAGCACCTCCAAACATAACCTGACTGAAAGCAAATACTGGGGAAATGGCAGGAAATAGGCAATTGGAGGGTATAAAACTTTAAGGAAGGAGGAGGAATCTTACTTAGTGTTGGCACTTCAGTACATTACGCATTTATATGGAGTGCCAATTCATGATCTGTAGATTCCTCATCACCCATTCCCAGATATTGCTCCTGGTCCCCAGCAGTGGGCATGCACCTCTCACTTCAACATCAATTCCAAAGCATTGATGTAATTCCGTTGAACACAATTCTCCCTTGAAAATTGAGAGTTTGATTTGTCAGTTTTATCTGCATTTCACATAAATCATATTTTTGCCAAGATCTGACATAATCCATGTATCACTGTACTGTGTTTCTTCCTGTATAGCCACTTGTCTCTACCACTGCAATGTCACTAGGACCAACAGAATACTTTCGCTTGTGGTCTCGTACTAGCTGGTCAATTGAACGTGTATGTTGAGTTGATGCAAGTGTAGAGTGTAGGCGGGAGACAAGGTAACACATGATGAATGCCGACAAAAAGAGCAAGCATCCCAGGACTGCTGCAATTACTAGGAATGTGCTGCAGGATCCTTCGAGTGAGTTGGCAGCACTGTGATAAAAGTCTGCAAATAGTGAATTCAAGGTTGTGCTCAGTAATTATTGTTGCTGGTCTGGTTATCTGTGTTTGTTCGTTTAGAATGTTGTAGTAAGTTGCATGAACTGTACATCTTTGAGGATTTGTGTTCATGTACAGATCAGAATGTTACACATTTCGTACTACATCATTTTAGTCCTGTACTGTGTGAATAGGCAGATCTCTGTGTTTAGAATTCTGTAATGTTTATTCCTGCTACAAGAATCTTCCAGGTGAATAATACAATAATAGTAATTTTTATGTCATCTAATAGTTTCTTGTTAAGAAAATATGTCGTTTCATATTGACTCATTTAGTTATGATTTTTTTAAATTAGTAGACACTAGAGAACAGTCTGCTGAAACCAATGGTAAACTAAAAACGTGGAAGCTGTATGTTTTTCTGGACTGAGCAAGTTAACCCAAGTGGTAATGCTTCTAATTAGAACTGAAATGATACCTGTTTCAAATCTCAGCTGGAGCAACTACCCAGACAGATTTTCATGGATTTCCTCAGTTTATCTCCATGTAAATGCCCATTATTCCTTCCTTCCACATGCTTTGCAGTTCAATATTCATAATTATCCATTCATTTAATGCTACATAATCTTGAGTTACTGAAAGTGTTATTAAATGATCTAGTAAGAAATGCATTTTGGGGTATGACACTGTTATTACATTCCAGAAAATACTCTTCATTACAAATTAATAAATAAAATAAATCAATCAGGAAAGGTCCCATATTGTATAGGTATAATGCTGGCTTGTATGGTGTTTAAGTGTACTTACCTCCAGGCATGAGAACTGTATATTCAATATTCTCGTTGAACTTGGTAAATTGAGAAGGAGTTGTGTTGTAACGGCTTGTTAGTGCCTCAGCATGGGGAATCTGTACAACACCAGAATTATGATGGCTGTCATCATGATCATAGAAGTATGACTGATTTGTCACAGAGCCTGGATAATAGTTGTGGCGGCGCTTTCTTCTTCCATGACCAGCTGGCTCAAACAAATCCAGGCAGTATTCCTGAAATGTAAGAAATCTTGTTAGTCAGACATAGTAAATATCTGATTGACTAATAGGATTTAAACACATTGCTTCATATATATGAGTCATGTTATGTAAGTCAGTATAGTGAGTAGCTATGGACTGAAAATAAGGTTAAGGATTTATGGAGCATAACTCCATTCCCTCTATATGCCATCGTTGCATGCTGATAAGACACATGAGCCACTTTGCCTTTATGTTACATTCTACTGTTTTATATATGTATGTTTCTAAAACTACATTGTATATTTCCTAACTTGTATTTTCATTATTCAACTTTGGATNCTATACCCTACAGATACTGGTGCGTGCCATCAGTCCCGACTCAGCCAGCGAGTTCAGCCTCTACTGGCTCAGCGGTATCTAGATGCTTCCCCCATCTACCAGAGGCGTTAGAGACTATTGTTGGGCGGGAAATGCCCTTAATAATTTGGCTCAGAGGCCTCCTTGAGGGATGAGGTTCTTTTACATGCTGTAAAGCTACGACATGGGACCCACAGCTCCCGGAGGACTTGTTCCCTGAATTTTTCCGCCCTTAAAAATTCCACGACCTCCGCCGGGTTTGAATCCGCGTACCTTGAGTCATGAGGTGGGAACATTACCCCTAGACTACAGAGGCCGCTTGGCATGTATATAAATACATATTTAATTAAAATATATTTGGTTATGATGCCAAAGTCATATCAGCCACAACAGGTGAACCTACTATAAATAAACAGATGCTTCATTTGTTTCAGCAAAAGAGTGCAATTATAAAGGAAGCAAAACTAGTTCTTAATTGAGCTTGGACTGCAGCTGATTTTATTTAATTTTTCATAGCAGTGCTATATTATAAAAGACTTTGAAGAACTCTTGTGTATATTTATTCCCATTAATGTGTGTAATAATGTGTAATAACAGTGAATAGTAAAGTCTTAATATTTTATTCATTCTCAATATAATTTTGACTTCTCACAAATTTTATAAAGTATCAGTTAACAGTGAATAGTTATATGAGACTTCGGTGTTTGTTTATTGTAAGGGAAGAGGTCTCATAGTCTATAATAAGTGAGTTTATTGAAAGTCATCCACTTTCAGAATTACAGATTATCACTTCAATTTCTCACATTAGCTATCTTTCATTTCTTGTAAGTCATTTGCTGAGCATGGATGTTGGCATGTCATTTATAGTTCCTTCTGTGGAATGAGCCTCCTAAATGTACACTGTATACTTTTCCAGTCTTATCTTTTTATAATGTAAGAAGATAGAGAGATACAGACAGTGAGAGTGAAATAGTAACAGTACTAGCCTTGAACTTGGAATACCTACAGGTTGGCAGTCCGTGGCATCCATGCATGCTTTAATCTGGGAATGGATCCACAGCGTGGAACGCTCTCTCATGTTGCTCAGCAGGAATGCTTCAAAATCAAGAAACACTTCGTTATGGCGTTCCCTGTAACGAGCTGGCTGGTGCGGGATGATTGATGCAAAGTCTCGGTTACGGCATCTGCATCAATGACGCACACATTTATTCTCATGGCTGCAGTAGTCAGTACATTTCTCACTGAATAAATTTATATAATAAAAGAAAATTATTTTGTGAAATTAATGCCAGTAATTTTGTGTTCCTTTGACTTGTATGGATTGAAGGTATATTGGAGAAGTTATGTTTGTCTGTTTCATGTTTCTTTCCCAAAACACTTGATGTATATGGATAATATTTGGTATGATGGTCTGTACTGAATGTTTTAAGGAGAGTCAACTGCCACTCTGTGCCAGTCCACTGTAACCCAGATTTTTTATACATCAAGCTCAAGACAAACTTTTTAAATTTCCCCCAAACCCCTGATGTGACATAAAAGTCTACAATTAAGTAATTAACCCCATGATGCATGGCCTTTCATGAGCGGCTGATAGTTATTTTACTTGTAGAGAAACACCCTGCTTTCAATGAATACAAATGTTCATCACTGTGTTCTCTTAACACCCACAATTGAACCCCATTCTAAGTTAGCTGACTTCAGTATTATATTTAAGCATCCTGTTGCACTCAATACGATACATGATACAAACTACACGTAGTAAAGATAAGCAGCGGCATGCACACACAGAGACTACACAGAATGACACAGGTACGGTACTAGAAACAAGAAGTAGCCGCTGCAACACTATAGACATAGGGCGAGTAACCCTGACAATTTTAAATTTTAAAATTTAGAGAAAATTGAAAAGATTTTAAAAGTAGAACTGAAGATTTTATAAGTGCTAATTCAGAGAAATCAAAATTAACGTGTGTAAATAACAAAGATATCAACGAAGTAGATTTTGGTAATAATGGTGAAAGGAACAATCAGGAAGACGTGTGTTTTTAAATTTTAAATGTTAAACTAAGTGCAGTGTGGCAGATATGTGAGTAATACACTTGATGATCGCCGTTTGTGGCTGAAACATGTAGTGTGTAAAGGAGAGCAAAATGAAAGACCTATAATATATGGTTTGCACTGAAGACGGAGTTTTTATCATGTGTTAGCTGACTTCAGTTCATATCCTGTACCTCTAAGATATATTTTGTATATTTTAGTATATTTTAATACTATCTTCTTATATACCTGTATCTCCAAAGTGGTCTCTTCTATTGAGTTTTCCTGACTGAAACCTTGAATGCCTGTCTCATCTCTCTCATGCATACTACATATCCCATCTGTCTTACTTTTTAAGTAAATTGCTCTTACAACTTTATGGGGTAGAATTCAAATTGTGAAAGTCCCCATTATGTAATATTTGAAGTAATTTCAAAAGATAGTGACAGCTTTGATTGCACCATCTATTAAAATAGCCAAAATAATTTAAGATGCTAAAATATAATAGGCAACCAACTTTTCAGGAGATGTATGGAGGCAAAAGAATGCACATTATGTTGAGGCTTATGTGGTATTGCAGTATGAATTAATATGGGGTTCTTGTGAAGAACAAGATTGAATAAACAAATGAAGTATGTAATCAGAGTTGGTAATGGGTAATGCTATTAAGATTAACTAGTTTCTATTAAAAACAAAATATCTTTCTTCCATGAAAATGTACAATTTCTGTAACTGAAAAGTCATACATAGGCTTAACTATTGGGACATTTTGAATAACAATTCGATTCTTGATCTCGTCAGACATCAAACAAATCCTGACCAAGTGGATCGGTGCTTCTAAATGATCTGTCATATGCATAGAAAGGAAATAGCTGTGTCCTGATTGCAGAGCTGTGACATCATCTCTGTATTCTGATCTTCACATAGCTTGTGTGATATAGTTTCAAATAGAAATCTAAATCCATGATTTATTCCAGCCGTCTTACAGTGCATACACTCATTCACCTCACTCTTCACTCCTGTACTACATGTTTCGGCACAAAGGTGCCATCTTCAGGTGCTTTTCGATTTACGTTAAACTACCTCACTGCATGCCTTGCCATCTTCATACTAAAATAACTAAAATATATGTTCATCATATATATTGAAAAATATTAAAACTGTTCAGGATCTTTTATCCCTACGTCGCATCTCAATACACGAGTCACACCTATCCTCTTCTATCGGAGCACTCTTCCTACTTTCGTGTGTGTATCCTGAACAGTTTTAATATTTTTAATATATAATATTTTTCAATATATATGATGAACATATATTTTAGTTATTTTAGTATGAAGACGGCAAGGCATGCAGTGAAGTAGTTTAACGTAAATCGAAAAGCACCTGAAGATGGCACCTTTGTGCCGAAACATGTAGTGCAGGAGTGAAGAGTGAGGTGAATGAGTGTATGCACTGTAAGACGGCTGGAATAAATCATGGACATAAATCAGTGCAACAGGATGCTAAAATATAACATTAGAAATCTAAATGTTGTCTTACCCATCCTTTACAAGAGCAACGCTGCCACTCATGTGAGGATCATCAGGGTCAGGGGAGACGGTAACTTCCATGAGCTTCACGTATTTCCATGCTGAAATCAAGCAAATTACATCTGTTGTCACGAATCAGATTTTCAAAATTCTCACATGATGAATTCTTCAGAAATATACAATTTTCATGTAACATTCTACAGTAAATGAAAGTAACAACGTGACATAATAGTATTGGGGTTTTCTAACTAACCAACCAACCAACTGACCATGTCTGTGATATTAGAATCTGAATGTACAGTACTGCTAGTTCTTGGGCTTGAGCCATTTCCATCAACTACATATCAACATAATCTATTTCCATAACATCCATCCTAATACTATTTTCCAACAACTTTTTTTGGTCTTTCAGTTGGTTTCTTTGCAAGAAGTGATCTGACTTCACTAAAGTTATGTATCCATTTCTTGCAACCATCATCAGTGCTCAATTTCACTAACCTAACAAGTATTGATCCTGTCTCATGAGACAACAGCATACCTGAGACAGGTCTGATTCTCTCTCTCTCTCTCTCAGGAGTCATTGTTTATCCTGTCTCATCAGAGAGTAATAAAATCCCTGAACAATGCCAAACCTATCTTACGGGATAATAGTAGCATATCTAAGTCAGGGTTGATCCTGTCTCTCAAGTCATTAGGAGCATACTCATGTCAATTCAGTCTTGTCTCATAAGATAGTATAAACTAGTCATGGTTGATCATGTGTCATAAGTTTGTATAAGCCTGATCCTGTCTTACAAGAAAGAAGTATTATATCTGAATCAGGGTCTGAACATGTCTCTTAGGACAATATTGGCATACTTGAGTCAGTGTTGGTCCTGTCTCACGAGATTTTATAAATTAATCAGAGTTGATCTTATAGATTCTGTAGATGGTGTATAACACTCGAAATTACTGTTTTTTTTGCACTTCATCCATCGCCCATTATTCTGAAAAGCTAGAGAACACAACGTTTCCGAAACTGGATCTATTTCCATCATCAGGTGAAGGGGCAGAGATACCTAAGGACGCAAACGGATCCAATTTCCAAAAGTTGTTTTCTCTATATTTTATAACACCAGATGATCGGCAAAATCCAAAAACCCAGTAATTCCGAGAACTGATGATGTGTTCCAGGATATCTGAGCTAGAATCTCATAGGTTAGTATCAGCATACCTGAGTCAGGGTTGATCCTAGCTCGCAGCTGCAGTTTGGTTCCTATGGGCACTGCTTGGTCCACAGGCAGCTCACTGTTACTGTTGTTGCCCACTCTGATGGGGGGCGCCTCTTTGTATAATGCCACCTCGTACTCAAGGCGCCCTGGTGTCTCCTCCACCACTCCCGATACTCGAGCACCATTTGGACTGGAAATGGAACAGTTCTCTTCTCAAGTTTTAGAAGCATTTTCTCTCAGTGTAGTACATACAGGGTTGTAAATTTTAATGCTACTTATGTTACGAGTAGATGAATTTGTAACATGTCATTCATGGTTGATTCTTAAATTATTTAATGGCATTACTTCAACTACAGAGGTTACATATGGGAAGATATTATGAATGGGTACAAATTAGGATTTCGTTTGAGGTGGTCATGGCTTACTTTTGGCTGGAGAGACTAATTTAGAAGGAACTAGTCTAGTAAACCCACACTGCACTTTGTTGATCTGTTAGTTTAACTTAGGACCTGAAGAGACTACTTTATGTTATGTCTTGAATCATCTTTGGCAGGTTTTGGTGAAACTCGGAGTATGACATATACTGACACCATATGCGAATTTCATTCATTTCTTTTAATGTTTGAAGGGTAACATAATTTTAGGCAGTCGTTTTCAAAATGTGGATTACGCGCCCCCATCTCTTGGGGGACACAGGATATTCTGGAAACGTTTTACAGCAGAATTGAATTTATATAATTCTCAAAATTTCACAACATTTGTAAAATCATGATATGCGTTAATTGATAAAAACTTAAAAATGCACTGATTTAAGAAAAATTAAAACTAAAAAACTCTTCCTTTTACACACACCCAGTCACTTGCTCACAAAATTCAAAAGGTGGCCCTGATGAAATTTTCACTAAATTGATGAAGGGCGCTATTATATAGAGTTTAAGAACCACTGACTTAGTTCGGTCTCACTTTCCATGTATTAATCTGAGAAAAGATGGCTCAAATAATAGTTATATTGTTAGTTGTCAATCAAAAGGTAATCTTTTACAGTGTTTGCAAAAAAAATAACACGTTTCGAGAAAATCTGTAATGACAACTGCTATCATTTACTATCATTTATGCTGGGCTTGGCAAGTGGCTTCATTCTTGAGTTAAGACGCATGTAAAGAATTTTGGCGAAGTAACATTTTGGGCATCTTCCACTTGGAAGGCCTATGGATATAAGGCTGAGGAAAATAAGTTGTGAGGATGGGAAGTGAATGGAACTTGTTCAGGATGTTGTGTAATGGTCGGCGTTGGTATTGGCGTCGTTGAACCTTTAAAAACTTACAAGCTGCCGGCGAACCCAGCCGCCTTGTTTTCGATAATGGTTGGTTCAGGCGGTTTGCACATGATGATTAGCTCCTGGTCAGACATCATGACCACACCCGGGAACTGCGGGAACCAGATTCGAACGTGCACAAACCCCTGCAACACAGTATGAACCCTGAATATGAGTAATATACGGCATGCTCATAATTTGCAGGATTTTAGTGTGGGCTATGTTTCCAGTTCCTGTCTTTCGCCACCCTGACCTCTGCCTGTCTGACACGTATAAAAATGTTGGATCTGGGGTTCTTACTGCAGTGCACGGTATTCTGGGATATGACTCCGTGTAGTTGCGGCAGTACCTCGAATTCTTCAAACATAAAATTTTAAGCGTATTGATTGAAACAAGAATTGTTATATAAATCCCGTGCGATAAACATTATGAAATTGTAAGATTTGAAGTTTTCACGGAGGTANACAGAGGCGATACTTTCCTCCGAGACGTCGGTTTACACAAGATCTACACGGCGCCACATCCCAGAAGACGGCATTCTTATGAAGATTGTTCTCTACGAAACGTACAATTTTAATTGCAGTTCTCAAAGTGAAATAACTGTTTTCTGTATCCTTAAAGACACTTAATAGCCCGTCTCACTAGGGCGCAGCTCATGAGCTCCGTTTTCTTAACCTGCAAGAAATAATGACGTTGCAGTCCTCTGCAGATTACGTCCCGTTCTTTGGCTCCAGCAGCTGCTGCGTTACGTCAGACGTGATTCTACTTCCTAACGACATGTTACGTTGCTCCGAAAGTAATGCGCACCTTTCATTCAGCTGAATCTTTTAACACTATTGTAAACGCATACAGCGTACATTTAGCAGGTGCGTTCGGCAGAAAGAAATATAAATTATCCGAAGTCATATTTTAACATTGAACTACATTACAAGAATGACATAAATCTGATTTTAATGCACTCTATAATCAATGAGGATTTTCTTTTGTTTTTTCTTCCTGATTATCATACTTTACTAAAATAATTTGTTTATCTATTATAACCGTGAATAAAATACTTTCTGCTGCATAGTCAAGTATAATTTGATTAACTGTATGTATATTTGCATATTGCACGTAGACCTTTAAATTTTAGGAGCCGGGATAGCGCACTGGCTGTGGGCTGTACGGCCAAGTGGTCTAAGTTCGAGCCCCAGTAGAGTCAAGAATTTTCTCAACGTCGTCCAGACCGGTTTTGCAGTCCACCCAGCCTCCTATCCAATGGGAACCGGAGGCTCTTTCTCCTGAGGTAAAGCGGCCGAGGCGTGAAGCTGACCAGTCACATCCAACTAGTGCCGAGGTCAAGAAGACTTGGATCTATACATCTCCTTCCACATGCGCCTTCACGGTGCAGTCTTTAATTAATTAAGCACAAGGACAACTTTATCTTTTACATATAAATTTTGGCGAAAGCAGGAGGTTCTTAAATTATCGAAAAACGGAGACTTCGGTAGTCTTTGTGTATGTTCTGGACACTTTTGTCAGTAGTGAAGTACAGGCATGTGTCTATTTGTTTAATTATCTCGAAGACAGAGTTAATGAGTTTAATTTTCTCCAAAATGCCTGATGTAAGTATTTCTTTATTTCCATAAATACCTCACGAGAGAAAAGCATGTATGTCTTCAGGCAAAATTTACGTTACTGGTCCAAATTTTATCCAAGTTTTCAATAGGTCTAAGAATTTTATTAATTCCCCAAAATTTCAAATTTCATGAAAAAATCGTTCAACTGTTCTTAAGTATATATGCATAGAACTTACTAGGCGCTCCACATTGTTCCGAAAGCGCTTAAACATGAAAAGAAGGAGGAAGTATGGACAAAGAAGCTAGTAGGAATAAGATAATTGCAGGAAAATGGTGGAAAAACGAATGGAAATGAAGAGAAAATAAACTAGGAAACTATCAGTGTGAAGAAGCAGAGTGGAATGGGGGAATACATAAGGATTGGAGAGCCACAAGTGGGAGAATGAGGAGGAAGAAGGAGAGAGACCTACGTTTCTCTTGAGAACTCCACATCTCGAAAAGTCTGTGATGAGCAGATCATACGTGAGTTCTTCACTATCTGTTACGTCGGGTCGGATCTGGCAGAAAACATCAGTTAGCGGATCTACTTGTCGGTCGTCTGCGAAAATCGGAGATCCTTTGAAGCCCTCAGGCTTGCGGAGCCTCGCTGCGATGGTGTCTCTAGTGGCAGTAAGGCCGTGAGTCTTGTGCGCGTCGACCCCACTGTTACTGCCGAAAGTGCACTGTACGTCCGAGACTGGAAATTCACAAAAATATATTAAGGAAATTAGGATGAAATCAATACGAACGTAAGGGCAGTATCGCACTAGGATGCCAGCGGGAGGCCATGGCGCAGCTGTCAGTATCTGCATCTCGGCCGAACTCACTGTGTTAATTTAGTAGTCGTATATCGCATCTGGCATCTGTCTGGCAGCGCTGCCAACCAAGATGCCAAGTCCTAATGTTGCTGGCATCGCTCCCACGAAGGTAAAGGCCAAATCAACATCACACGACAGTCTGAGGCCAGTCCATTGACGTCTGAGCGTGTATATGTGCTTGTGTGCATTTCTGTTTCCTTCAAACATGTCCAATTTCGACACCGAAAGATTTACAATTGAAATTCAGTCCCGACCATCTGGCAGCTGGACGCCATGGCATCACTGTTGGTGTCGCTGCCGTGGCGTCCTAGTGTGATACCGCCCTAAACGTACGAATTCTAATTGAAATTAGCCACTTTAACATTTTTGTTAGTTCCTGGCTCGTATTTGAAACCTGGCCTCAATTTTCAATCCCTGTTCTAGTAATCAGACAATGTTTGAAATACGTCCGCCATTTACAACTCTCTATGAAATTCGATACGAGTGACGTCATATTGACTTACCGTCGTAATCTTGTGAAGTCACTACCGCCACCTGTAAAGACACAACAGCAATCATATTATTAATAATCTTCATAAATAAAAGTATGTTACATGATAATTTTAAAGTGGGTTCTATAGACGTAAGTGTTGCGAACGAACTCTGTCCGTACGTACGGGCCTGATTTCAGTCATCCAGCTAGAAGTGCGCGCTTAATTTTATTTATAATTATAATGATGATGATGATAGAAACAGTAATAACNCATATTCAGAGGATAATAACAATTATAATAATAATAATAATAATAATAATAATAATAATAATAATAATAATAATAATAATGGGACACGCGGTAGCGTAGTTGGTTTAGGCAATATGCTACAATCCGCAAAGGCGTGGGTTCGATTCCCAATTAAGTCATTGTTCGTTTTTTTTTTCAATTTACCTAATCCTTCCAGCTGCACTATGGCCCTGGGGTCGACTCAGCCTCTAACAAAAATGAATACCAGGGATCTTCCTGGGAGGTAAAGGGCGGCCGGCGCGTAAAGCTGACAACTTCACCGCCATCTGTGAGTCGATTGTCTAAAAAATGTGGAAGCCTCGACGTCTCATAGCCCTATGGGCCTGTACGGCCTTTTACAGGGATGCCTTTAACTTTTTAAATAATAATAATAATAATAATGGCAGCGGTAATTAAATCACGATAGGATTATAAGCGAAAGTAGAACTACAGCCCTATCATCAACAGGTGAGGATAGATAATTAAGAAATTCCGGTAAAATATGGATTTCTTTCTCTGTTCTCGTCTTGATCTCTTTCTTACTTTCTTCCGTTAGGATGCCCTAGCTGCAGTGCTGACGCCTCGCGGGAGCGACACGGTGTAGGAAGTGACGTAAAGAACGGGCAGGTGATTGCAACTCACTGCGGAGGTCCGGCCCAGCGGCCACTGAGTGGACCGACACGTGCAGACAACAGCCTCTTCAGCCTCACGTGACTATTTTCAGAAACGAGGTTCTGTTTCTTCTCAGCTACTGGTCAGGAATGCATATGAGGTATTGGTGGGAAAGCCAAAAGGAAAGAGACCACTGGGAAGACCAAGGCGTAGATGGGTGGACAATATTAAAATGGATCATAGAGATATAGGATAGGATGGTATGGATTGGATTTATCTGGCTCAGGATAGGGACCAGTGAACACGGTAATGAACCTTCGGGTTCCATAAAATGCTGGGAAATTCTTGAGTAGCTGCAGATTTGGCTTTTCCTCAATAAGGGCTCAGCTCCATAAGTAAGTAAGTAAGTTCATTTAATGACACTGCCAGTAACTCAGGCTATTATGCATATGGTGGAATGATTAACAAATAATGAATTGAAAAGAATTTGGAATGTACTGTAAGGTTAAGGTAAAGGCGACTATATCGCTGCGCCTAATTAATCGAGCAAACACATGAAGACATATGGAGAAGTGGAAGTATAACTCCACCATTCTAGATCTCGGCATTAGATAGAGGTGAGTGGTCAACTTCAAGCCCTGGCTGCTTCATCCCTAGGGAAAGATCCCCGGTACCCATAGTTAGTTATTGGAGAGGGTGGGTTTCCCCATGAACTTAGACCAGTATTGGTCCATTGTGCTTCCCTCTATGATATTCTACCAGTCTCTATACCCTACCGATATTGGTGCGTACCATCAGTCCCGACCGAGCCAGCGAGTTCGGCCTCTACTGGCTTGGCGGTATCTATAATGCTTCCCCCATCTATCAGATGCGTTAGAGACTACTGTTGGGCGGGAAATGTCCTTGAATTTGACCCAGTGACCTCCTTTGGAGATACGTGCCGTAAAGCTACGACACGGGACCCACGGCTTAAAGTCCCTCCCGGAGGACTTGTTCCCTGAATTTTTCCGCCCTTAAAAATTCAACGACCTCCGCCGGGTTTAAACCCGCGTACTACGAGTCATGAGGTGGGAACGTTACCTCTAGACTACGGAGGCCGCTAAAATACGTGCACTGCCCGGGAATCGAACCCGGGTCGCAAGAATGGGAATCTTGCATGATACCACTACACCAGCAGTGCGACCCCGGTACCAATTGTATAGGAGGCTTGTTGGACCCCAAAGCCTTTCTGGACTCTGCGGAGTAGACAAACATCTTTTGCCCCTGCCGGGAATCAAACTCCAGCCAATCAGCCCGTCTCTATGCCGATAGAAAGCAGCATATATAGCTAAATTTTATGTAATGTTCTGACATACGCCGATCACAGCGGCCGCGCGGTCTGAAGCATGAAATGTCTTGGCTCGCTCGGACGCTAGAATTGTGTGTTCGAGTCCCACTCGAGGCATGGATGTTGGTGTGTTGTGTATGCATTTATTCTGTTTGTGTTGTCCTTAGAGGTCATGCGACGACCTGATCACTCCTCCAAGGACTCCTACCGTCTGTGAAAAATGATTACGGAACTGAATAAGAGACCAGGGCCATAAATGGGCTGAAGAGTCATTGGGGGAAGATAAATCTGACATCTACGTGAAGGGAATTAGGAAAACCACGGGGAAACTTAGTCAAGAACGTAGATAGGCTATCTCTGTCGGGCTTCGAATCGGTCCCACATTAGAGCCCCCAAAAAAGAGCCAAGAGCATCATGACTTCACCCAGCTTTCTCTGTGCGAGGCTGTGGAAATCAGTGATGGTAGTATACCAACTGCATCTGGTATGGAGGAAATTCCACGATCAAGAGGCACAAGTAGGTTCAAGTTGAGATAACAGTGTGGTGATTATCAGACTCTTTAGCGGCCTCCGTAGTCTAGGGGTAACGTTCCCACCTCATCACTCAAGTTACGCGGGTTCAAACCCAGCGGAGGTCGTGGAATTTTTAAGGGCGGACAAATTCAGGGAACAAGTCCTCCGGGATAGACTTTAAGCCGTGGGTCCCGTGTCGTAGATTTACGTCACGTAAAAGATCCTCATGTCTCTAGGAGACCTCTGAGCAAAATTAGGCAAAAAGTTTCCCGCCCAAGTAGTTTCCAATGCCTCCGGTAGAAGGGGAAAGTTATCGGGTACCAATGCCAGTAGAGGGCCGACCTCGCTGGCAGAAAGGGGAGAGTAATCGGGTACCACTGCCAGTAGAGGGCCGACCTCGCTGGCAGAAAGGGGAGATAACGGGCACCAATATCGGTAGGGTATGGTGACAGTAGAAATTAAAGGGGGACGTACAATAGACTGTTAGTCGCGGTGCATGGGGAAACCCACCCCCTCTATCCTGAATAACTGAATCAGACTCTTTCGTGTTCGGAAGGCTCCGCATTCGAATGACGGTCCACACAATAGTTATAATTACTGAGATGTTCCGTAATTTTCCTCGCCCTCTCCGCTGCTATATTTTGGCATACAGTGGAACCTCGCTTAACGAGCACCTCTCATAACGAGTAATTCACATAACGAGCAAAACAAATTATTAAAAAATGACTCGCTTAACGAGCCACGTTTCGCATAACGAGTTGCGAGAGGGGAAGTCCCGGATTGTGCGCTTGCTACATCAGTCCGTGTTTAGCACGCGTTCCGCTACCATCTTAGTGTCGCTTGTGATCACACATTTTTCCAAACTTGTGTTCAGACATATTATTTGTGATTTTTTTTTGTGCGAAATTTAATAACCCTTGCAAAAATGCCCCCGAAGAAAAAGCCGCAAAAAGACAGCCATAAGAGAATAAAAATAACCGTAGAAATGAAACGTAAAATCATTGAAAAGCGAGAACGAGGTGTGAGCGGGGCTGATCTAGCACGCAAATACAATCGGTCTACATCAACGATTTGCACGATTTGGAGTTGCATTGTGTTTCACAGCAAGAAGTTGTGGAGGAGAGTTTGTCAGAGGAGGAGGAGGTAACAGCAAAGCAACAATCTTCTGGCGCAATAAGAGAAATGCTGAAAGCATGGGAAACTGTTTCATCGTACATTGAGAAGCATCACCCTAATAAGGCAGTGGCTATGCGAGCTACAAATTTATTTAATGATAATGCTGTGTCGCATTTTCACCAAATTTTGAAGCGCCGGCAAAAACAAATGTCTCTAGACAGTTTTCTAGTAAAAAATAATTAGATATATATCATAAATAATAAATTAATAATTTCGAATTTTTTTTTCCTGCAAATCGAATTCGCATTCCAGGCTGGTTCATTCCGCAGAGAAGAAAAGATGAAGATGATTGACGCTCCTTAACAATGTATATATAATTTTCTTTGAATACACGTTATACATAAAAATTTTTGAGTATTTTTTTCGGCATGGAACGCATTATCGTATTTTACATTAATTTGTATGGGAAGAATTGTTTCACTTAACGAGTGTTTCACATTACGAGTAAGATTCTGGAAAAAATTATGCTCGTTAAGCGAGGTTCCACTGTATTACCTTAAGTGTAAGTCCTTGTGCGTAGGCCGCTACCAATCTGCTTATGGTTTGTAGGATTTTAGGTTCTCACAGCGGTGATTATGAAGAGTTCTAGCTTCTGGGATATAACGCTGTGTAGTCCGTTGAAAGCCAGCCGATATTTGGGAGAAATATAGCTCTGGATGGGCTCGGAGACTTCAAATTAGGAGGGCAAATTATTCAAACTGTGAAATATGCAGATGACCTTGTGTTAATGGCTAAGGAAGAAACTGTGCTACAGGGCATGATTGATAAACTAATTGAAATTGGAAGGTGCTATGGCATGGAAATGAATGTGAAGAAAACAAAAGTAATGAAAATTTCGAGACAACCAACCCAAGTCACAATAAAGATAGACCAAAAACAACTGGA